CGCTAACAATCTTCCCCCGGCGCATGTTTGCAGGAAGTGGTAGCAAAGAAGGGCACTTGTTTCGAATGCGGTGCAGCAAAAACCAAGGACAAGAAGACTCTTTTAACGTGTGGTAGCTGCAAGTTTGCAGCGTACTGCTCTCCTGAATGTCAGAAGAAGAACTGGAAGAAGGAGCACAAGGCTATGTGCAAACAGCTTGGCGACCTGAATGGTCTCTCTCCTTAGCGGGTTCTGTGCGTATGCTTCTGTGAGTGCTTTTGTTAGCTACTCTCGAGCTTCATGATGGACGATGCGGGCATGTTTATTTCGGTATGATGATGGCACTGCTCATATAGATAGCATGGGAATGGTCGCTTCGACGGCGTCTCAATGGTTTGATAGCCGCAAAGCTGGATGAGCAAGACAGAACATAAACCACACAGCTTGCATGGTTGATGCAATGTGAAGTTTGAGGCAAAACCAAGCAATAGCATTCAGTCAGACTTCGCCACTTGATTTGTAGTTGAGCAAAAGCTTATCGCCAGGTTGTTCAATACACTCGCATCCACCATGAAGTTGAGAATGGAGAGGATACTCTGGTTGGGAGTTCGACTAGCTTCGGCTTTGGTAAGCCGATTCTGGTTGGACCCTTACTCTTTACTTACCTCTGCTACAGCACGACAGCTGGATTCAGTACAACTACAACTCCCAGTGCTGGTCTGCAGTACCGGCGGCATCATCCAATTATAAATTTGACTAAATCGGAGGCCAAATCTGCGCACGGACCTTGTCCCTCAACCGCCCTTCTTGCACTTATCTTCGCGATCACCTTCGTCCTCGCATGACCTCCTACGGTGTACGATATACCTCTTTTCGCCTCCACGTTGGAGAAATTGCCAACAAAGACGTTTATTGTCAACAAACCATGATCTCTCTTGCGCTTATCTTACATCTTCACATTACTTTGACATAAGACTACAGAAGCCCACAGCCCAGCTATGATGGATAATATCCCTTCGATTAGTGGCGAAGTTCACCGCCCTAGCCTTCCCCCGGAGCTTTGGAATATGATTTTGAGCAACCTTGGTCGAACAGAATAGAAGCAACTTCGGCTCACAAGCAAAGAATTAAATAGAATCACAACCCCGTACTGCTTTAGCAAAGTCCGATTCGAGCTAAGCGAAGGCGGTGTCAAACACCTAGTTAAGATCGCTTTCCATGAAGAGCTCTGTCGGCATGTGCGGAATTTGGTACTTCGGAGGAGCCAAGGATTGCGAGAGTTTCCCAACTTCGACACATGGGAGCAAAGCATCAGCCTAAAGGGTAACCCCAATGTGGATCCCGATGACGACAGTAATAGTGACGACGATGATGATGGTAGCCTCATGTCGCATTAGGAATGGTCGGGTCTATTGAATGGCCAAAAGGAAGCGCTCTACCGCGAATATGAGGCCGATCGCAGGAAGGCACAAGACCAGGTACGAAGCTTAACAAAACATCTATATTTCCGCAAGTTGGGTTGCACCCGGGGAGCGGAGCGGGTCCACCTTAACAGAACCTCAATTTCAACGGCAGAGGCACCCGCACTTGAGAATTTTGACCAGGTGGTGGCAAGGTTAACCAACCTCACCAACTTCGTACACGAACCTGGTTTCTTGTTTGACCATCGCTGGGGTTCTCGGTGGAGACGTCTGCGCCTCAGCCTAGATGCACTCATTCTAGATACTACCCATGAGGAGGACGAAGACGTAGAGGTATTACAGTTGTTGTTCGTTCTCCGAGCCCTTGGGTGGGCTAACTATTTTCACCGCAAGCTCCGCTTAATAAGCTTCCACGTTGGCGGTCCGGCATTTTGGGGCGTGGAGCGCTTGTGATGTCTTTGGCATGGCGAGGGTCATAATTGAATAAGATTTTTTCGGGACCATACTACGAGGACGGGGAACGCTATCTTCAGAGAGAGCGATACCTGAGGCAGTTGGTCATTATGGAGCATGCTCTGGTACACCTTACGCATTTCGATTGCTCCATCTCCGAAGAAGAAGAAGATGGAGGTCTCTTTGCCGCAGTAGAACCCCTCTTTGAGTTTCTCCGCTGTGCCGAGAACCTCGAATGAGCCCGCCTAGCATTTGGTAGGCTGGTGTATGGCGTCCTCCAACTGGGGTACGATATCCGTGAGCATGGAGATGGGCCCAGTGAATTACTTGCCCTGCTGGCCAAACATGCCCCATGGTCAAAGATCCGGGAACTCGAGCTCGAAATCGTGACGGACGAAAGCGCACTTTTGAGTTTCTTATCCTCCCTCGCCCCAACGCTACGCCGCCTTGCACTCTCAAACGTTACACTGGTACCCTCTAAGGGTATGTGGGAATCTACTCTCGGTTAGCTCACAAATATCCTTGAATTAGACAGCCTGAAACTATCAGCGCTGTGTGATCATGTCCCGCAGTAATGAATACTTTTTGACCCAGAAGCGGAGGTTTGGAACGGCAAAAGTACTTGCTATCGTGATTATGAGAGCGCTGTGATTGACCGTCTTCTCCATGCAAGAGAGTTACTTCTATTGGACCCGGCTTCTTTTTTAAAAGAACACTATTAAAATTGCGAATGGACGTAACTCAAGACACTTCAATGTCTTTTTGTTCTGATATTATGCAAATATAAAATGTTGTAGTTCACACATTTTCTGTCCAACTGGGCGGATTAACATACGTTCCTGGCGCTGCGCCTCCTGAAACGAAATCACACTTTGCGCTTTCTCTTTTTTGGAATATCTTTAGTTCGCGCCAATCGCAATTACCTGCTTTCAATATGTCGGTTGCATTAATCCAGAAGTCTGCCCTTCGAATGAATACAGTAGTATTGCCAGCCTTAACTTTTAGAAACTTGGACGCTAAGTAGTTCATTCGGTCATTGAAATCTACGCCCTGCTTCAGCCCATATTCAAGAAGCGGCCATAAGGTGTCCGTTAACTGTAGGAATTCACAGAGAAATCGACAGTCTTGATAAGGGATCCACGACTGTGGGGGAAATCGTGTCGATACCACTTGAACGTTTGTATGTTACTTGAGAATACATAGAGTGGATGGTTGACATCGAATAGGCTGTGGACGTCCTACTTTTGAACCGCTCCGTATTACCAAATTATCTCGGGCTGGGAGCTTGGAGAGGAAGATGGTGTTTACAAATATTACCAGCCAAGACAATATTATGCTCGATCCTATGGATTTGATTGTAGTTCTTGTATCCTTGTGTAGGGAATCCCCTGCCCTGATGAGTACTGTAGGTTGTTAGGCACAGTGCTTTTCAGTCACCTCCATTTCAAAATCCACGTGTTGAAGGTACATGGGTGCTCCTTATTACCTTACACGCTAAGTAGATAATCTCTTCCGGTTCCCCCGCTTGATTTTATGCCCTTGTATCATATTTATATAGATATGGACGGCTATTATTTAGAAGGATCGGCGTGGACCTTGAAGCTTCGCAATTTTGGATACATTAGCTCCAGATCAGTCGATGACTTGAAGAAAAAAAGACATCGTGTCAAATTTCCCTATTTCCCCCGTAGCTAGGTTAAAACAAAACCCGTTGGAGCGCGCGTGCGATTTATCCTCTCTATTCCACACTCTTACATAGTCTCCCGCTTTCCATTTAACAAGACCAAGAGGATTAGGGCGTTCATCCGATGTAGTCATGCATAATTTGGTGTTTGTGAATGGCTTTGAGTCTCCCTTCTCAAGAAGATCGGCTGGAATCCGCCCAGCCGTTTTATTTCGTGGGTTATATGCTATGGCTTCTGTATGGTTCTTGGTCCATGCGAACACAACAACCTGATCGCCGGAATTTGCCACGACATGCCGGTAGTTCTCGCAAAGGTATCCATCTTTAACAGAAACCGTGAGAGGGGTGTTTAAGGTTTCATGGATGGGCGTTGGAGGTTTCATTTGCGCTTGAGTGACCGCAGTAGAGCGGTGCAGGAAGTTGGCCATTAAATCGGATAATATGTCTTCGATCTCCTTGGGTACAGAACCTGTCTCATGGAGGAATAGCAGTTGCTTTTGCGATGTTATTGAGTGACACTATATGTACAATTTGGATAGCGCAGGACGCTTACTGCTCGAAATATACTCATATGCATCTTCGCGCTGGATACGATAGTTGTACGCTCATCAGGCATCGGTTTGGAAGCCGCCTCATCTGCACTCAACCGGGTTGCCATAGTAGGCAGCAGATAAGGATAAAATATAGACTATACGAATAACACTGACATGGGGAGGAGCTGTCAACTTGTGGCCGGGTTAGAGAAAGAAGGGAGGTGCGGAGTTAGAGTATAAGGCTACATTTGAGTTGGTCATGGCCGTGGGAGAACGCCACTTGATTTGTACACCAGCCACCGGTACAGTCCGATATGTACCGTTGTTTAACGCTTAATCTAGTTCGGTAAAGCGACTGCCAAGAGGTCTGCTGATGGCGCGGGGTAAAATCTCAGCAGCGCGCTTGGAGAGTTACTAGCGAAACCGGCTTCCCCTTAAATGCAAGTTCCAACGAACTTTACCGGGCTCGCTAACGAAAGGCTTGGCACCCCACCTTACATATCCGGTAAAGCGCCCCAAATCTAGGCACGTGATTTGCCACTATACAAAAGAGTACTTCTCTATTACAGTTAGAGCTTACAAGGGTGTGGCCAGAGCGGATCGGCCGCCTTCCTGCTAGCGTGATCAAGGTGTTCGTCTACTTTCCTTAAGACCTAAGCATGGCAAATCTTTAAAGCTTAAAGGTAGTTTTGTTACTAACCGTCTTGTTAGAAGCTTCCCCCCTTGTAGTGGCAAATTACCTAACTATATATTCACGCTTACCCCCTGACCCCTCTATGAAATAGAGATATAAATAATAAATAATTAGTTACAAGCAAAATAAGAGTATTACTTCTCATATTTATGATGTCAAAAGGTCTTAGTAAATATTAAACTCTATGACTTTTACTATGCCTGAATCAAGCTCGCTACAGTACTTTCTTTCAGCGCCGCCGGTGCATCGCTTCGGCCTCTTGCCCTGGCTCTCCAGCACCGAGCTAAGGTTGCTGACACTGGTGAGCGTATCAGGGTGCTCTGGCCCCAGTACCTTCTCATATCCTTTCAGTGCCCGCCGGTGCATCGCTTCGGCCTCTTGCCCTGGCTCTCCAGCACCGAGCTAAGGTTGCTGACACTGGTGAGCGTATCAGGGTGCTCTGGCCCCAGTACCTTCTCATATCCTTTCAGTGCCCGCCGGTGCATCGCTTCGGCCTCTTCATACTTGCCCTGGCTCTTCAGCACCGAGCCAAGGTTGCTGACGCTGGTGAGCGTATCAGGGTGCTCTGGCCCCAGTACCTTCTCTCTTGCTTTCAGTGCCCGCCGGTGCATCGCTTCGGCCTCTTCATACTTGCCCTGGCTCTCCAGCACCGAGCCAAGGTTGTTGACGCTGGTGAGCGTATCAGGGTGCTCTGGCCCCAGTACCTTCTCCCTTGCTTTCAGTGCCCGCCGGTGCATCGCTTCGGCCTCTTCATACTTGCCCTGGCTCTCCAGCACCGAGCCAAGGTTGTTGACGCTGGTGAGCGTATCATGGTGCTCTCGTCCTCGCACCTTCTCTCTTACTTCTACTGACATTCGAACAACTTTCTCCGCGGTTTTGTACTCACCTCTAAGGTATAGATACCAGCCTGTGCTAAAAGCAATCTTTGCCTGATTTAGCACGTCCTCCTCATCTCCTATTATATGGCTAATAGCTTCTCTCGCGTGGGGAAAGAGTACTTGGCAGTCTGCCCATGTTTCGTAGTCTCCGCTAGGGAATGCCGTAGTTAGAACTCTTATCGACTCCTTTGTCCATTTACTTAGCTGCTTGTCCGCCTTAAGCCACCTTCTCATTGATAGCTGCACTAGACGGTGCATCTCAAACGACTGCTTCCCGATCTCTGCCTGTACAAGGGAGAAGCTAAGCAACGGCGCTAGAGCATCATAAAAGTCCAGTTGACTGGTGCTGTTTTGCAGCAAAGATATCGGAATCCCCTGTCTATCAAACATGCTCATCAACGTAAGCAAGTCTGCAGCCGACTGTTCCGTCTTCTGGATCTGGGTGAATGAGATCTGCCACGTGGCGATAACTGCATGCCGTATGCTGTGGTCTCGCCGAAGGTCTTTTAAACCGTTCTTGCCTAGGAGACGCACCTGATTTGCCTCGCTCTCGCGGAACAGCTCGAGGTAGCCCGACATAGTTATCATCGGTGCTCTTGTCTTGATATACGCCGCAGCGTGGGTAATTGCAAGAGGTATGCGTTCCAAAGCCTGGACAAGCGCCTTCGCATCAGCTTTACTGGACTCGCTAAATGACACTCTAGTGTTGAGCAGCGCTAGCGCGTCCTCTTCATCCATCGGCTCCACTTGGACGATGCTACCGTGCGTTCCAACGAGATTATTTGCCGCAATTCTGTTCCTTGAGGTGATAAGGATTGTTCCATTCGGCGTCTGAGGGAGGAAGTTTTCAAGCGGCCTCGTGTGGCTCGTGATGTCGCTCCTCTGCGTAGTGCCTGCGGTATCTTTGCCGCCGGCGAAGAAAACGTCATCGTCGTCGGCATTGTCGAGTATCATAAGCCACTGCCCATTCCTCCTATCTGACAGCCACGCGCATACTAGTTGCAAGATGTTAGCCTTTAGATTTTCTCGCCCGGGAAGTAGAATTTTGTCGGCAATGTCTCTATATCCTTGCTCAAATCTGGTAGGATTGCTTGCATGTATCCAGACTACTAGAGTCTGCGGCTCCACCTGTTGAACTCTATACGCATACTCAATTGCAATCTGCGACTTCCTAAAGACGTGTCAGACTGCCATCTACAAGGATGCTACGGAACGTTGTTTACCCTACGCCTCCTAGCCCAACAAGAGCTAGGCGGGAGTGGTTCCGCGAGGCTACTTGTTTATGTTTCTCCCTAATCTTTGTAATAATGTCTTCTCGGCCAACGAATAAGTCGTCCCTAGAAAAGGGGACTATGAACAATGCATAACTTGCTAGAAAAAGTATATTTATAAGCGTTCCATGCTGTAATACTGGACAGTCTACGTTTTTTACGTACAAGAAACGTTCGTAACATTGGCGGGTGGTATTCTTATACTCTTTAGCTCCTGTCGGATGTAGCTTTTAAGAACGCTAGAGATGGCACGGTATCCGGTCATCGGGTGATGCAGGTGAAGATGAGGGTGTGGAGCTGTCAACTGCAGCGCCGGAAGGTGAAGTTAAGTTCGGCGCAGCTGTAACAGGGGCTACACGGTCGCTCATGGGATGGTTCAGTAATTCGGCTTGGGCCATCGCGTATTGTACTCCTGCTGTTAGCGTCGGCTGAGGTCGACCTGCGACTCCAACCGACACGATAAGTCCGTACTGATCAAAGCTGTAACCATTAGGTAAGTCTGAGTGGGAGACTGGTTGGTATGGGAGCCTAAATCCTTTGCTGCTATTCTTCTCAAATTCGTTCTTGCCCGGCCACTTTTTCAAGTTCTCCAAGTCGATTAAGTCAATAAGATTTGCTGATAACATCAAGGGACGCCAATAAGCATTGATCCTTCTTAAGATCAGCCGATTTAGCTTGACCGAGGCCTCTTCCCAGTCGGGTATCCGAGATGCAGCAGTACCAAGCACCTTGCAGTACTTCTCACCCACATAAGCCCACTCGTAGTGTTGAACTTTCTCGATACCCCAGCATCCGCTTACTTTGGTGAGAGGAGCAAGGCTTTGCTTCCTTAACTCTCCACCAGTTTTGGCTGCGCCAACAAACCGCTCCCACCGTTTCGTATCCGCATCTCCGTTGTTCAACTGGGTAGACCAACAGCTCCTCTCTTTTTTGTATTGTGCGCATTCCGCAAGCATAACCTCTTCTACACTCGCACAGAGCCATTCCAATTTCGTTTACCGGCTGAGAAGCTCGTCCCGCATCTCTATACATGCCTAGAATTTGTCAGCCTTATTGTTCATCAAGCGGAGGGAGTTGCGGAATGCTTGTATTTCGCGGGCGTGATTAGGATCAAAATCGAGTTCATTATTACTTAGGTCACATTAGCCCTGGTATAGGATAGGGTTCTAAATCGTTTTACCTTTGAGTTAGCGGTTCCATAGTTTTGCGCGCGCGATTAAAGAAGAGTGGCTGGTAACAGGCGAGTCTGAGAATAAGACAATCAGATTACATAAGCCAGGTTCAATTTTGAACCTAGCTTATGTAATAATGTCTTGGCCACCCGATGGGATCAGCCAACTCTCACCAAAATTCCATATTTTTAAACTGAAATATCTCCATGAATACTTAATATAAAATAATGAAACTTTAAATATAGCCTTTCTAAACCGTAAAAATCATAAAAATAAATAAATAAATATTTTATTTAAAAAGCTTTAGGAGTATGAAGCTTAACTTAAAAAATTGTCCGAGCGGTTGGCTGATCCTATCGAGTGGCCAACACTTTAACCCGAATTAATCTGCCCACTTAGAATAGCCAACATGAGCGAGAACTTCGAATTATCCACTTAACGTACTTAGAGAATCACATTTTGGAGTTACTTTTAACGATTTTACCACACTCTTTTACGCTTCTAACCCTTCTAAGTTGTCTCCTGGTTGGGCGGGACCTCTTCCGAACCCTCCAATATGTCAGACCGCTCTAGGGACTAGGTTGAAGTTCAAGCTGGCGGGCTTTGGCTTTGCGAAAGCAGGCAATTCTCTGAAAACAATTTGCGGTACAGGAACCTACTGTCCTCCTGAAATCGCCAAATAGTTCCAGCCACCTCAATTCATTCGTGGTCAACATCACTTCATTTCGAACCCAACAAAAGAGATCCAGGACCGCACCGTCGAACACCAGGATTCCTTGAAATGCCAATAGAAACCAATCATTCATCCGCTCCAAGATGACATAACGGAGCTTCCTCTGCCAAATAGCCATGGAAATACTAGTCCACCTCTGCCTTTTCAGAAGATTGAAACATCCTGTCCACGGCCACCGTTCTCCTCACACTGGATTGCCCCATGCGGCGCGCAATCTCCTAGCGAGCTGAATGTCTTTTACCTGGATGGTAACACGTTTAGCATGGACAGCGCAGAGGTTGGCGTCCATGAAGAGGTTGACTAGAAAGGCTTCAGTGGCTTCTTGTAAGGCCTGAATAGCACCAGATTGCCAGCGCCAGTTATCCCCTTCACTTCCCATCTGATATAAAGGCGTGGCTATCTCTCTAACCTAGTGTGAGGCTTTTATTAGTACCAATTGACATTGTAGGGCAACCGTATTCATACCAGTCTGGCGAAAGGAAGTTTTCGGAGGAGTAGGTCGGTAGACTTCTGATTTGCTTGGGGTACGGAATTGGATCACCCGCTATCGCCGCAATTTATTAGCGCTCATCGTTTTTCGCAAATATTGGTTCGTGCATTGATCCTAGCGACTTACGCTGGACGTCTCCTCGTCGTTTCCCTCCTAGACTCGATCGTTTACCCCTCTCATTCCGGTTCCCCCACCGCGCGTCGGGCGCGCAAGGTTGCGCCTCGCCTGGGCCTTTGGTGGCATGTCTAAATATTAAGAGACGGTGCAGTAGAAACTGGTGGATAGAAATTGAAGTGAAAAACGGGTTGTCCGAGTGAAAATTTGCCTTTTTTGCGGTCTAGGACGTCGATATATTGGGAGCGGGTTTGTACCGAGGCGGGACTGCGAGCTGCCAAACGAAGCATGCAGCTGTCAGAAATGTGGGCAATTGCGATTTTGTCAGGGCTCGAAGGGCGATGAATAGAAGGTTCGAATAAATTTCGAGAGCGCAGTGCGATTGCGCATGAAGACGAATAGCAAAGTCATGGGATAGACGATTAAACGTTATCGATATGGCTTCGTGGATATCATACTCATTGAAGAACCTTGAATCGCTTTGAGCCAGAGTTTTCAGAGAACAGCAGCCCTCCTGTAACTTCTTGTACCGTAAAATGTTTGTGAGGTTATCTTCAGTTGTATTTACGCGTTTGAGGGTGAAGGACGCGTGTTGTGGGACGCGATGGCTAGCAAGCACTTTGGTTGGTTGATGATAAATGCCACTTGGGCGAGACGATGACCTGGCAAAGGCTCATGTGAAACTGCAAGCCCAGTCGCCCGTACTTTATTGGATATTGGGCCCATCTATTAGTTATTCTCCTGTAGTTAGTGTAGCCAGCAGCTGTGTGGCGGTCGGATGGGATCATTACTGGGTACACACGCCCCCCCCTGCAAGATTGCATAGGAGACAACGATGTTGAATGAAGCCCAGCATTCCCAGTATGATAGTCAACGATCTCTTGAAGATTTACATTGTTATCCTCCTCAACCTCAGTATTGCTAGCTTGTGCAGCTTGCTGAAATAATGGTGTGAGGTCTTCTACCTTAGGACTAACCACAATTGTATCACCCATAGTAATTGTGGACTTTTCCCAGCAATTCTGAATTGTAGCTGGTAAGACCTCGAAATTCCAGGCTCGTAGGGTCCACCTAAGTGCATTTTCAAGGGTAACTTCTTTAACTGGATCCTTGTTGGTGTTATAGTAGGTGATGCTAAACTGTAGCCAGGATTTCCTGTAGTAAACCTTAAAGTTCTGTATAATCCCTTGGTCTAATGGCTGGAACATAGAGGTTGAATTCTTTGGAAGAAACTCGATGCGGATGTTTGCCGGCGGAGGAGCAAGCTCTAGGGCGATCGTATGCGCTGAGAAATTGTCCATAATTAGGAGAACTTGACGGGAACCAATATGGCGATAGAAAACACGTAACCAATCCGCCATAATATTAGAATTCATCCAAGCTTTTGCCGAAGCCTTCCATACAGCACCAAGAGCTTGTAGGTTAACTAAGCGAAGAGCGCGAGGTTGCCTGCTCTTGCCAATTAACCAGGGGTGTAGCCTTTCCGATCCTGTTGCATTAGTGTAAAGTGCAAGAGAAATCCGGCTTTTATCTTTCTTTACTCCAGGCAGATTTGTAGTCGTGAGACCCTAGAAATTGTCCAGCGCCAATATAGTCCAGTTTCATCCATATTAAAGAGGTTTTCCGCAATGAAGAGCAACGTAGCCTGGCGGAGAAGCTTCATCTCCCCTTCAACAGTAATAGGAACTGATGCTATCCTATAGAGAAATCAGGTGAGTACATATGTTAGTTAACATCCTTTTTCTACTACTAAGTTATATAACGTTAAACTTAATAAATTAACGCCTACTTTAGGTATAAAGAGCACATTATTTAATTTATTTGCTCTATTAGTACTAATAAATACTAGAGATAAATTATATTACGTCCTAATCCGCACACAAGCACTTTCCCTTCCTATTTAGGGAACTGGGCTGCTCCTGCTCCACCCTAGGCTGTGGCTGAGTTGGGGCTGAGCACCCTAAGCATTTTACGAGCCTGACATCTGAGTAGCGTAAAATGCCCCCCCTCTGCGCACGCTAGAGCGGGGCCTATTTCGGGTCCCCTCGAGGCCGGTTTATTCTTGCCCAGACGCATGCCCATTCGCTTCACCCAAGCCTGCTGCCTCACGCTAACCACACTTGATCCATCCGTCCCTGTGATCAGCTCCACTTCTCATCCACCCGGACGACGATTGAGGGACTATAGGGCACAAAAACCACATGGGCACGACTGGCACTTTGGAATCCAACCTACTGAACCATCTATCCAGATTTGGGATATGGGAAATAATAGCCTATGAATAGAGCGAGTGAACAAGGCTTTAAAATTGAAGGAGTTGGTCTTGCCTCAGCCTTCAGCCTTCAGTTCTGAATTCTGGGTGGGCGTCGAGATCTCGCCGTTGGACTGGCTGTTCTGGCTGGATATGATGCATATTCCGCAGCGATTTCTGGAAAATCTCGCTTGATCCACCCCAGGAGACCCTTCAACCGTTGCATCCTACTCTCCATCCAGCTATCTGATTTTCGTAGGTACTTACCGCGATCGTTTTGCATCTCTTGGAGCTCCTTGCGTTTGTAAACGTAATGTGCCTTCTATTCATCTAGCAGAACTAGGGGTATATACAGTCTAATTTGTCAGAACACGCTTATCCCAAGATTAATCTGTGCTTACCTTTATAAGCCAGTATGCACTTATAACAGGGTAGCTTAC